AGTTTCACACCTTTGAAGTATAAAATTAACAGTATAACCACTCTAATTAATAGCGCATTTAATATTTGCTCAACCACCGTAACAAATTTGATGACGAAATCAAATTCTTAGTCAATTATTTCAATAGCAATGTTTTTCCTGATAACATTTTTTACAAGACCTAAGATCATTCTTGGATAATAAACTTTGCCCACCCACAAAAATCCTCACCGCTCACAAAGAAACAAAGTTCATAAAATTACCGTATCTTGGTGATATAAGTTTTACCATTCGAAAACAATTACGTGAAATACTTAAACATTCATTCCCTCAGATCAGCTTCAACATTGTCCTTGTCAACCACTATAGTATCAACTCGTTGTTTAGAAAAAGAATGCCTCTGCCTTCAGAACTATGTTCGAATATAGTATATATTTTCAATTGTCCTAGATGTAACGCTAGGTACATTGGGTCATCCACTCGATGGCTCAAACATAGAACACTCGAACATATGGGCAAATCTATCAGGACGAGCCTACCTCTGAGCAGACCTTCTTCTCTGCTGTTCGTCAGCATTCACACTCACAAGATCACCCGTTCACTCACAATGATTTTAAAATTCTGTCCACAACAGCTAACAAACTTGACCTTCTCATCTCAGAATCCCTGTATATCCACAAGATGAAACCTGACCTGAACAATAGTACAGCCATTCAGTTGTTTACAGTGTAATTCAACCACCGTAACAAGCACTTCCTCACTTGTCTTTGGTATGTCTCACCCTCACCCAAGTTTTAAATTTTTTCACTATGTTTTTGACTGTTTCTTTTTGGTTCACTTGTTACCTTTTGATTTTGCTTACTCTGTTATAAACTATTTTTTACCACTGTTCTTTTTTATCTTATCTAATTTGTTCTTGTATTCTCTGTTTTAGTCTGATGATGGAGAGATAACTCTTCGAAACGTTACTTAATAAAGATGTTCATCACAGCCCTGGCCCTCCTTTTCCTTCTGAGATTACGATTCCCGAATGGAAAATCAACAGCAGAAATCATTACGAGAGTA